TCAATTCTTGATTTATTTCTCTCTAATCAAATCTTTATTCTTGATGCCTTTTAAATAATTGATTGTTATATGGAATGTCTTGAATAATAAATTATTCTAAAAATTTTACTTTTGGCATTGTAAATAACAAATCTTTAATATTTTCTTTCAACCCATATTAAAATTGATTGATAAGAGCTTTGTCCTTTCAATCTATGTCACAAACAAGGTTTTGAAATTTAGAAGCATATATGGTGGCTGATTAAGATCTTTGTTGTAAAGATAAGAGTTTGGTCTTTGCTACTCTTCCTCAATCAATTTCTTTCAATGTCACTCTAAATATTTCTAGGAATGAATTCAAATAATAAAAGAGTCCTGAATCCTTTTCCATTAAAAGTACAAACTTAGAAAAAACACCTCTAGATAGAAGTATGCCTATGAATCCAACTTGACTAAATCCATTAAAGTATTGGAAGGGATGCAACTTTAGATAGAGCTTGATTTGTTGCAAAAATCTTCAAAATTTTGATCTTGTTCTATCAAACTTCTTAGGTATACTAATTCTTATCCTTTTCACACTTATACAAGAAAAACTTTCTAGATTTGGTTGTATGGTTAATCTAATTGCTTCTTTCAATTGCACAATCTTTTGACAAAGACTTTGAATTTTTTCTATATGCATAGGATTAGTATTTTTGTAGTTGGTGTTGGTGATGTGTGAAATTTCTATCCTAAGAGTATTCACAAGTTCATGAAGTTTTGCATTAGTTGCAAATCTATTTTTACTTCTATCAAGTGTAGCATCCATAATTTTTTCTTTCATTTTAAATAACTTAACACAACTACAAGTTAAGTTAGAAGAAAATAATCTACAACTTCTAATATCAAATAAAAATTTTGAAAAAAAAGAATAATTTACTTTTTTTAAGAAAAAAATTAGTATTAAAAAAAAAGAACAATTTTTTTAAAGATAGATAATTTGAAACCTTCAAAATACAACAATATAAAAGAAATAATCGACTCAGTTCTAAAACAAGATAAAAACAATGATTTAGCACTCTTCTGAAATTATCAAGGACATGAATCTCAAAGAATTAAAATATCAATACACTCTTTTATCACTCAAAAAGACTAAAAAATTACTCAAAGATAATATAGTATTAAATTAGAATAGGTATTGCCAAAGACAAGAAGACTAGAAAGTCTTGAAACAAGATTAAAGACTAAAAATGCATTGACAAGAGTAAAGAAGGCTTCACTCTTGCTTCTATATATTATCTTAACTAAGAGCTACATGACAATGTTTTATAGGACCTCCAAAATATTTTGACTTTGCAAGGCATATATATTAACTTATAAGGCAAGTTTTTTATATGTGCACCATATAACTTGTTCCATAAGCTATTAACACGTGATCAACTTGTTGGTCAAGTTTCTAACCTACTGTTCAACTTCAAATACATGTAAAGTCAAAGCAATGTCTATGAAGCTTTTAAGAAGCTTTTCTAAAAAATATTATGAAATAAATCTACTTTTATTTATTTCTACTTAATCATATAGGTGAATATTAGAATAAATATATATATATATATATATATATATATATATATGACAACAATTGAAAATTTACATGTTGATTATTAAGAGAAAAAAAATCATATTTTAATGATAATATCTTTTAATAATAATAATATTTTTATAATAAAAATTTATATTAATAATAATAATATTTTTATAATAATAATAATATTTTTATAATAAAAATTTATATTAATAATAATAATATTTTTATAATAAAAATTTATTTTAATAATAATAGTATTTTTTGATAAAAATATATATTATCAATATTTATAATATTTATAATATTATAATATATTTTTAGATATTACAGCAAATATATAAGCTCTAACTTAAATATTTTTCATTTGCATTCATATTTGCTAATAAAATCTTTTCATGAACTTTTGAATTTGAATCACGTCAAAAAAATAAACCATTATTATAAAAGAAAAATGGTCTCAAATGTTACTTATACTTGCTTAAGATATATATATATATATATATATATATATATATATATATATAATATTTTTTTATTAAATTATATAGATTTTTTAATTAAATATCATATAAATTTATTATGAAAGATCTTATAGCTTAATATTGGTTTTAAAATAATAGTAAATTCTTAGCACCAAAATGTATGGTCTATGTCTTATATCTCAACTACACACTACATATGCACTCATTTATATACTTATATCTTATATATTTTAAATACATGCTACATATGCACTCATTTGATTACTAATCATTTTTTATTTCTATGCATCTTTCAATTCTTCATGCTCTACATATCACTATAATTGGCTTTGACAAAGAATCACCAATGACTAATTTTATTAAACAATGTAGCCTAAAAGACGTCTTTGGCACTGAAGGCATGCCTCTATTCAAATTTGTTCATTGTTTAAGAACATATTCATTTCTTAGAAGTTGGTTTCACTTAGTGCATATAATCCTTTAAGGTCTTTATCTACTATGTTATAAGAATATCTTTACCAATTTCAAAGATGAGTTATTAAAATCAATGAAGTTTTACAAATCAATAGAACATCTCTAGTTTCAAAAAATCAAGTATAAAAATGGTTACAATTGTGTTTTTGTAAATTGATATAGAAATTGCAATACTTTGTACATTCAAACTAAAGAACTTAAAATCCATTCTGAAACTTGAAGAAAGATAATGAAAAAACTTGACTTTTTTTTGGTGTAATAAATATAGTTTTAATTCTCTAATTTTTTGATGTCACTTGATTTATTAATCATTAAGGTGGCAATTATGGCATAATATCAAAGTGAGTCATGAATTGTATGTTATATCCAAGGGCTTCAATATAAACAATACTTCTTCAAACAACTTGTGACTAATGATTGAAGTAATAGTCTTAAACTAATGATTATAATTGATGACAAAACAAACTTAAACAATAGTTGAGGTAGCTATTGCTAGAAAATACTAAATTCAATTCAAGACCAAAGAAGAACTCTATTGCCAGCCAATACCATATAAAATCCAAAACTTTATCAATATGAGAAGATTAAATATTAAATATCAATAGACACCTTGCTTCAAAAGCATTTCAAAATAATTCTATATTTGCTTTGATTATTTATATTTTCTAAGTTTAGGCAATTATTGGATGCAAAGAAACTTATGCAAAATAAAATACAATACCTGAAGGATTAGAACTTGTATTACAAAAGACTCAAATAGAAGGGTTTTGCAAGGATTGGCTTTAAAACAAATTTGATCACCAATTTACTCATTAAAATCAATCTAAAGCCAAAAAAAAAAGATAAATCTTATTAGCAGTAATAGCACTCATATGGAAGTAAGTAATAAAGTAGGCAAAAAGACACAAAAAAAATACATAAAAAATAAAAAATAAATACCATACCTAAAAAAATAAACAAAATGTATGCATTAAAGATTTACAACTTCCTTTCTATATCCATAACTAGTCTTCTCTCTATTGAACTACCAATAGACCATAACCAGTCAACCTCCAAGTACTAATCTTTTAACCTACAATTGCTTCAAATCCTACATTTTTTTTTTTTTTTTTTTTTTTTTTTTCTACATAAATTCTCTTTAGTTCATCAATTCTTATAGCTTCATCATGTCTTGGAATACATAGCAAAGATAGCTTTAGATCTTGTAAGAATGAGAGGGTGATGGATTTTGACTCAAAATGGAGAGCAATTGTGGGTGCAAAGAGAGGCAAGTACAACACCTTATATCAAGACATCAATTAGGTTTGGCAGATCAAAAAGATGTTATTAGGTTCCAACAACTTAATTCTTAGATTACTTTCCAACCACTTTGCATTCCTCAAGTTCTTTGAATTCTCCACATTCTCCATATTTCTTTTCCAATAGCCAATCAAATTATACTTTTATATCTTATCTTATACTTAAGTTGTTTTATATAATAGATGTATATATATTTCATTTATTATGTCTAAAATTATATATAATATTTTAAACTAATACTTAAATACACCATGAAATTAAAAAATTTGTAATTACAATATAAACTAATTATTTGAATATAATTAAAAATGTATGCATGTATAGATCAATCATTTATTGTAGTATAAATTTTTTTTTAAAGTTTCAAAAACACAATATACATATCTTAAATAAAAGAAAATTCTAGGAATGAAATAACATTAGTTTTGTGTTGTTATATTGATATTATTTTTTATAAAGTTTTGTAAACCATTTTCATCACCAAATTATTATAACTATATTAATTATAGATGTGAAAAATCTCACCTATTGTTGCAACAAAGTTATTATCTTATTATGCTTTATTTTTAAATCTTAGGTTATTATGATTATTAAGAAGGTTATTATTAAGAATTTTTTATAATACCTTTATATTACTTTTTTTACAACCATTTATATAAAAATACCATTAATAAAAAACATTCATTCTTTAAAAAAAGATATGTTACTAATCATAAATCATTAATTTTCCAAAAAATTGTTGTTGGCCAATTAGGATTTGTTGTAAGTTTAATCAATTTTATTACCACAATACCATTTTTAATGTAATTGATGGTCAGAGAGTTCGCTTAAGTTTTAAAAAATAGAAGTAAAGATTAAAAGATATTATTTAAAAATATAAAGTAAATAAAAATATAAAAATAATAATTATAGTAGATATTATGTATATAATGTCTTTCATTAAAAAAAATTAAAAATGCAAGAAGGAAAAAAAAGAAAAAAAAAGAAAAAAACATTCTGAACAAGATCTTCTAAATTCTACTTTAATGTTACAAAGTGTAAAGTTATATCACTCAACATCCATGCTCCACAACTTTCCTCAATATTCAAAGAATCTTCAGTTAAAAACCAAAATCAATCGAAGCCCAATCCACAAGATATAACTTGAAACCAAATGTATTCTCTGCACAAAAGAATTTTCATATTCCATCTCATCCCTCTCCTACTCCAAGTTGGAACCTTTATAATTGTAAGCTTGTACCTTACACCTTATTTTTAGGCAAACTTAAGGTGCAAGATTACACTTCATATATAAATATACACATATACACATATACACATATACTTCACGGCTTGATTCCTTTTACAAGAATGCACCGTTCGGCACGGATCATGGCTATTCATTCTGTGTGAACTAATAAACTATTCAAGGTGGGGGCATTCATTTGCCTCAGTGAAATGTACCGTTGTGACAAAGGAAGAAAAGAGTGAAAAAGTGGGTATGCTTGGCTTGGCTATGGTGCAGATGATGGAAGGCACCCCAACACGGCAACAAATTTCCATATTCATTGTCAAGGCAGAAAAACAACTTGTCTGAGACCTGAAGATCAGCCGTTGTGGCTCTCTTCATGTTCGGAGAAGCAGTGCAGATGTTCGCAGTCCCTGAACTCAGTTACAAACGGCTCCTGATATGCATATTGATGGCGGAGCCTCGGATGCGAGGCATGGATTCATGCAACTGCTTTGCATTTCTAGCCCACACTGCAACCGCAACTAGAGTGGCTAAGATGATGGCTCTCTTGTGAGTCGTCCTTGAATTCCAAGTTGCGTGTGACTCCGGCTTCCCAGTGACACTGACCCTCTCCAGATCCCTCAAGTGCTTCACCAACTGCTCCCCAACGGTGGCATTGAGCTGGTCTATGGAGACTGATGTATTCAGCTTCGGCAAGCTTGCACTCAACTTCGGCGATTCCGGGGCGTCGTCTTTCGCTGTGCCAATGACCACAAACCATTAGCTCAACATCTATTATCCGATCTCAACGATCCTAGCCATAAAATGCATACTTTACTTCTGCAATGAGTTTTGATGATGTTAACTTAACTCGAACAGACGATTAAATAAAAACAGATATTGCTAATATGGCATCTCTGTTGAGCTCCCGATTTATCACCCATCCTTCACAATAACTGTGATGCGACTAATTATAAAGCAAGGTTCGACCGAGAAGTGGGTTGAGGCAAATACCCGAATCACGGAGCTTGTCCGTAGTAGAATCGTTTGCATCGGCGATGGGAGATGGAGTTTGGAAAATTATACATTTCTCACTAATTACATTTTGTACAGACTCTCCTTGAAACGCATTTTGTTCTTGTACGAGGCCAGTTCGCTGTGCGTCTCCTTCGAGATGGTCTACCGTGTCAAGGTCCAGGGGTAATGCAATGACAGGTTCACAGGTTGCAGAAGTTAAGACGTGTTGGCGTAGATCGCTTGTGGGCTGGTCAGAGGCTGATTTATGCTCAATATCCCATTCCTCATGGTTATCAAAGCTTAGAGCTAGCTCGTCAGCTCCACAAGTTTCTAACTCCTTTGCAACCTTCATGTGATTGGCTATTTTGTATCCATGGTCCTCAAGATGGAGTCCCACGACCTCAAAATCAAGGGGCACCGCAGTTAGTTTCTGTTGGAGGGGATCAGTTGTGACTTGCCCAGTAGCTAACATATCCTCAATTGTACAAGCAACATAACCCTCGGCATCCAAAATTGGCAAATGAGCATTGGAAATTTCTAATTGCTCGTCTTCCTTTGTTTGCTCGATAGATTCACTTCCACAATCATCAGGGTTGAGCACCACCACCTTCGAATCAACACCAGGAAGGCTATGGTTGACTGCCTCCTGCAAGTTCCATATCTATATGTCAGTTGATGTTGTGCTTCGTTAAGTGATAAGATCATTTGCTGGTTTCCCTGCATTGATAACTTAACAGGTACGACTCAAAGATGGTCACTGGAAGTGTGAAGGACAAATGGAAGAGGTCGTCGACCTGTTGAGAGACAAGTATTTCAACAAGTTCGGGCTCAAAAGCTCCAGAAGCTTCCACAAGCACACTTTCCTTGACCTTGACCTCGGTCTTCGAAACAACTCTTCTGTCTGTATTCGTCCGCATCATGAAAGAGATGAGGTTGACTGATCACTTAGAAATTTCGATAATTACACATGCCCCAATGCGATGAGAGAAGTCTCACGTTTTTTTGACATCACAATAGCCCCATTACTACAGCTTGGAAAATTCTTCCATGTACTACTTGGATGCATTGCAATTTCATATCTCATGAGGAATTTTCACTGAAAGGAATGCACTGCAAGAAGAGAGTTGTAGAGAATTAACATTTTTACCTTCCTTGATTTCCACATTTCCTCCCCTGAACACTGTGAAGACAAAGAAATGTCGTGTCCGGGTGATGTAACTTGCAATCCTCGCCAGCCTGCAGCCCAATTTGTCACTACTTTAGCTTGCCTAACAAAAACCAGTAGCAAACGCGGAGAAAAGCTTGCTGAAGCATGCAAGTGACATTGCAAACGAGTCGAACAAATCACGAGAAGGATTAAGCAAAAAAAGCACACGGGATGTTGAGCAAATTGGCAATTGGGTTTTTGCAAAAAATCTTGCTTTAACTAAGTTGCGCGTTGGATGAGCATTGCCTAGCAGTAGAGCCATACTATGCGCTCGTTAAAAAATTAAGGGAACATTTCGAGCAACCAAGCATAAGAAGCAGGGAATTGAAGGTTTGAAAAGCACAGGACTCACATTCTGGAAAAGAAAGCCAGAACTCCGCTGGTGCTGTTCCTTGCTACCTCGCCTTGCCCAACGTGGCTGTGCCGCGCTCCATCTTCAACCACAACAACAGTCGCATCCATGCCGACAAAGTCTTCAACCCCGATATTGTTAAGACCGCTGTTAATTATCTCACACAGTTTCGGACAAGAAATTCGTCACAACCAGTAGGACCTGAGTTCTCCGCTGCTGAGGACATCGCAACAAACTTCGACAATCCAAATCGCGTGAACGCCCACATACGGCGCCTCTGCTGCGATCAACCCAAAAAACATCGACAGTGAAGCTCACACTCACTTCGAAGCCATCGAAGGATCCACAGAAACAAGTGATACATCATTAAACGGTAGCCTCTGAGTGCATGGGACTCTCCACCTTGTAGATTCGTTACTCCAAAAGGGGGCTAGTGGGGAAGTAATACAGCCCAAAGAACAGCCACTCCCATTAATGACTGTCTGGGACGAAAAAAACATCGAAGCATACTGGTTGGTAAGCATGGGTCCCTGACGTCTACCAAACATTGCTCACAGAAACGGACAGGGACACGAACAGTCTGAAAGCACCATTGCCAGCATCGGACGCCGGCCGCAAACTGGATTCTACCCCGCCGTAGCCAACTGAAAGTGTATCCGCAAAGCAAGAAATTTCTTCCAAGACAAGGCATCGGTATTTCCGCCGTGGCAGGAGGGATGGATATGAACACCAGGGCCCATCCTCAGAAAACGTAGACTTCGCAGCGCAGTGACTGAGTTAAGTTTCTGGATCAGAAGAGTGTGAAACTGCTTGTGTATGTTGCTCTTTCCACAGCTTTGTTTGTTGATTGGTTGTGTTTCATTGTGAGTCACGATCAAAAGATTTCAGCATAATTCCATGTAGATTTGCAATATTAAATGGTTAATAGAGAGGATTAGGGGTCCATTAGAAATCCATGCAATTGTCCACAAAAAATATTTACTAAAAATTACAATTGGGGTGCCAAATGGCAGAAAAGTAGATTAGAAACAACGTCAAGAAGACAAGAAAGAGGACAAGATGATGCTCCAAAGCACCCAACTTTTTAGTGTTGTTGTATTCAATGAAGTTTGATTGAGAATATATTAGGCAGTTGGCAGTTGGCTGTGGAAGATAAAATAGAATTTGCAACAAGAAAGTCATAACAACTCTAATAGAATCATAAAAAAATTCTAATTAAATCTTAACAATGCTAATCAATCTTCAATCAAATCCAAAAGAAGTCTAAAAAAAATTACAAAAAGATACATAAAAAAAAATTATAAATTAACATCAAAGAAATATATATAATAAAGAAATCTTTAAAAATATCAAAGAAATCTTTTAAAAGTATAAAAAATAGAAACCTTAAATAAATCTTAATCAAATCCCAATGTAATCCTAAACCAACCTTAATCAAATCTTAATCAAATCTTAATCAAATTTAAAATAAATCCTAATCAAATCCTAAATAAATCCTAATGAAATCCTAAACTAATCCTAATAAAATCTTAATTGAATTCAAAATAAATCCTAATCAAGTCGTAAACCAATTCTAATCAAATTCTAAATAAATCCTAAACTAATCCTAATTAAAATGTTAATTAAATCTCAAATAAATTCTAATAAAATATTAATTAAATTCCAAATGAATCCTAATAAAATCCTAATTAATTCTATTAAAATCCTTATTAAATCATAATCAAATCTTAATTAAATCTAAAAGAGATCCTAAACAAATATTAAACAAATCCAAGAAAATTTAAAATAAATCTTAACCAATCCTTACAGCTATTTTAAAATCTCAATAAATATAAATCAAATTGTTGATCTTAACTCAAATTTCATCCATATTTCAATCCACCAGCAATTAATAAGTACACAAAATTTGAAAAAAATTGACTTTACTAATCAAAAGAAAAGCTTCTAAACCTCTTGGAAGTTAGTTGCCTTTCTTCTCCAATCTTGATGTTGATCTTTCAACACCAAATTCTCATTACTAAATTATTTAATTGCTTCAAAAAATAGTTGATGTATAAATTTTTAAGTTCAAATTAGTATCACCAATTTTTGCTTTAGTAGTACTTGTGGATATTTAAGATCATAAAAACCCTCATTAATCCTAAATTTCTAAAATCTGAAATTTTAATCCAACAAAACTCTCATATCTTTTGATCTAACTATTTGATTGACATTAAAATTCTCAAGCACATTGAAGACAAGCACAATAACAAAATAACAAAATTTCACTCATAAATGTGCTACAATACTCACACAATACTCAAAATTATAAACTTCTTTTCATTTCTCAAAATCCAAAATCACTAAGTACATCTCTCACTTTGAAAAGCCCTCAAAAACTCAATATGACTCCAAATTACATGAAACCAATTCTCAAAAAACCTTTCACTTATTTCCTTCCAAATTCCACACTTTGATCAACCAAAGAATTCTGGAATTGCTATAGGTGTGCAATTTTGTGCCTCATGGTCTAATTTTGATCCATATTCATATCAGTCCTCTTTGAATATCAATTCTTAATATTTTAGAAGAATTTTTGTTAATATCTATTTTTAACTCTTTCATGAAGATATCTATTTGATTTATTTTTTAATCTTTTTTTTACCTTATTTATGGCCTTATAAAGTAAATAGTTTTTTTTTAAAAGGAAAAATTAACATTTATTAATTTTTACTACTTCTTTATCTATCATCCATATTTCTAAGATAATTTGCTAAAATATTTTTATTCAAGCTCCTCTATAATATAATCTTTCTTTTCTTTTCTTACCTAATGGTTGTATTACAAGACAACAACAAAAGGAGCATTCAAGAGTAAAAGCATTTTTTACATCTTTGTTCAAGGATTAAGTAAGTATTCAATTATAGTAATAAGTGGGATATTTAACCTAGCTCTGAATCCTATATTATATATGTACTAATAACAATAAGTAATATTATGGTAGAACTGTAGAATAGTTCAAGATTTTTACTCATGTTACTCTGAACTAGTCCCACAAGTGATGTAATGGAACTTTTACAATTAGAATTTAATATAATTTTGTATATGGAGGTACTCAAGGCGTGAATAATTCATATTCTAGTAGCATCTATTATATTAGGAAAAAGAGGCAAGTCAAAAGAGCTTGTAAACACAATCAATTGGAGCCAAAGTTAATAGTTGTGATATCAAACCTAAGCAAGTTTATGTCTACTAATTCAATCTATACCATTCTAAATATAATTCTTTTTGAGGACTTATCCTACAATAACACTAATTTTTTATTTGATATTTGTATGATTGAAATGTACCTAAATAAAGAAAAAACAAATGTAGAAATAAATCATTTACAATGATGTGTTATAATTGCTTATTTTGTTGGAAGTTGCTCCTCAAACAAATATTTGTAAGCATGGCTAGAATAACTGAGAACAAAGATGCAAGAAGAAATGGAGATTGGCTAGGATCTTGATCTCTAATTTTTTTCAAATAATAAACAAGGATAAAGTTACATCTTAGAAAGTTCTTATGCAAACTCCATACATCTCATAGTAGAGTATGTATATCCTTCAACCATAGATAGTAGGATTCAACTTAAGTCATCCTATTGGCATAACAATATCAATGTGGATCATGCTCAAATCAATCCCTAATAAATTTTTGAATACTACCTAACACCTTATTCAAAATCTTGAAGCAGTATTGGAAAGAGATAAGCGCAATCAATTTAAGGCAAATAGAAAATTTTGCATTGCCTTCATGAATTATAGTCCATATAGTATCACAACTAGAAATATCACAAAAATCTAAGTGGACTACAATAATTTTTCAATCAAGTGCAAATATTGCCTATCTACCTCATATTTGATATGTGAATGCTTGATGATTCATTTCCAATGACAAACAAATAGATCAAATAGTGATCACATATCATCTTGTCTCAATCATGCTAAACAAAAATTTCTACATATACAAAGGACTAGTCTACAATAAGTCAAGCCATAAGAGTTTACCTTGATCCAGCTTGAAATAGCTCAAGAAAAAAATCCAAATCTATTTTTTATCTTAATTTAGATAGACTAAACTAAGAAAGAATTAAAATTGAAAGAAATAGAAAGAAGAGATATGTCAATGCTCCCCTCCAAAAATAACTTTAAGAGAGCAACAAAATATGTCATTTGGATTGAAGGTTGTTTGGTCATACATAGATCTAAACAAAGGTCTAATCTTGTAATTTATTTTTGTAGAGGCTCACCAAAGTAATACATAAGATATGACTAATACTTTCCATTCGGTCAATTTAGGAAGAGCTAAAGCAAGATCTTAAGAGACCTTTCAATCTTTTGGCACCATTACAAGACTGTCAAGGCATACAAATTGAGAGATAACAAACTACTTAATGTCCATCTTCACTAAATGGCTATGCAACCAAGGCTTACCAAATGAATTAATCAACTCTCCCTCCTACAACCAATTATCATCTAATTCTTTAGTACAACAAAACCAAAGGTTAAGTTTTTCAAAGTACTAGTGTTTTTTATGCCTCAATAAGCAAAAGAAAAAAAAAAAAAAAAAAAAAAAAAAAAAATCATCCTCAAGAAAAATCAAGAATGACCATTAAGATCAAAAATCCATCTCCTTATATTTTAATTTATAAAAATCGTAATTTTAACATAGAATATATAAAGCTTAAATGACCTCACCAAATTAGAGATTATATATAATTATTACCAGATATATACATATATATATATATATATATATATATATATAATAACTTTAATATATATCCAAGAATATAATTTAAGAAGAATAAAGCCAGCCACATTGTAGAATCCATTTTGGTCTAAAATAGACTCTTTCGGTTAGGAGGCCAATGTAGTATATAATCACAAAAGAAATAACAATAGCACTCTAAGTTATGAATAAAGATAAATCCTTTGGTTTGGATGGAATTGTCTTAGAATTTTATGAGACATTTTGGAATATAATGGAGCCAAAATATGTAGTGATAATACAAGAGAGTATTTTCAAGGGTTGACTTTCTCCATAAGTGACACAAGGGCTAATAGCATTAATTCATAAAAGAAGAATTAGACATGACCTATCTAATTGGAAGCCAATCATAATGCTCAATATTGAATATAAAATATATACAAAGGTACTTCAACTTAGGCTCCAATCAATGTTAATAAATATTATTAATTTAAATCAATGTATATTTTAATCCAATTGATTCATATTCAACAACATATTCTTGATACATGAAACTATATTATAAGCAAAGAAATCAAGATAGCTACTCATCTTTTTAAAACTTGATTTTTCAAAAGCACATGATATGATTGAATGGAACTTTATTTTTTCTCATGATGGCAAATATGAGATTCTCTTAAGACTTCAATGTTATTGTCTATCTATTATTCAATGGTCAATGAAAGCTCAAATGGTGTATGTAATAACTTACTTATTTAATCATCTTCTAATCATGTACTCCCTAAATTACTTATCTATGATAGGAAAATTCATACATAAAGACTTTTTTAATATCCACCAAATTCAAGAAAGTCTTAATCTCCATGATAAGACAAGATAAAGAACTAATTTCATCAAGTCTATCTTAAGGATTTAGAGAAGGAAAATAGATTGACTTATTTTTAGATAAAGAATCTTGATTATC